ACGTTGAGTCTGATAGCCCTAGTTCAGATAAAGACCACTGCCGATATGTGCGAAATACAAATGAGTTCTCATCTATTCTTGAATCCGACTCGGATGCTCTCGGTAGTGGAACTTCGAGCCGGGCAACAGAGAGATCAATCTTAGCCGCCTACATTGACTTGATTCGACGGGCTGAGCATTATATTTACATTGAGAATCAGTTTTTTGTTAGCTGGCTTCCAGTTAGCTCAAATACTGACAGTGTAACTTCTTCTATCCGGGACCCAATTTATACAGGTGATTTGTCTTCATCAAAAAATGACCTAAGGTCTAATGTGTTGCGCTCTAAAGCCGCATCAAGCACACGCGTAAAGTTCTCCGACATATCATCGTCCTTACCTTCTCCACCCTGCAAAGCTTCACCGTTTGGATTCCCTACAGAGGTAAATAAAACGTCTGCAGTATCGAGAGATTCCAGATTTCTATCCAACATAGACATTCGACCTCCGACGAAGTTACTTCCACCTCCAATAGAGAACCCAATCTGTGAGGCGCTTTTTGAACGCATCATGAGAGCATATCGGTTAGTGTATCTAGTATACTTTCCCAAATTATTATTCCCAATTATTTAATTTCATTCATAAAATATGTTCATTCACAATTTCGGTTATTTGAGAAATTTTCTTTAAGATATGTTCATCACTAAGAGGGTTAATTATTCTTAACTACTTTTTTTGAAAACAGTAGAAAATATTATTATTATTAAATTAATTATGCATTGAAATTTCTTAATATACATTAATTTATAATTCATTAAATTTTATACAAAAGTGAACTAATTTATGGGTTACTTTGCTTTTTATTTTGGCTTAACTGGATAGATTAATTAGACTCCTATGTGAAGGGTCAAATATTAAAAAAAATAGTATCCATAATCGGTGCACCATACCATAAAAAACTACTCCATAAAGGCAAGAAAGCTTTCTGTAATATTGGCGAAGCTCTGTTGCAGTTAAGTAGCAGTTTTGTATCGGCTTATTTATCTCTGTAAACCTATTGATAATAGACAGTCAATTAATCGACACATCGAACCACATAGCGAGGAAACACTAAATCACTTTATGCACTAACGGCAAAATAACTAACTTACCTCATGTTATCAAGGTTAAGTGTCTTGTGATTGCTTACTATCACACCTCATCATTACTTTTTTAAGGATTGCTAGATTTTTTAGACTATTTTCTATGTATCAATTCATTTTGTTGAAACACTTTGGTCTTCATACAGCTCTTTTAGTGCTGGTAGCGCCATTAGCATGCCGAATAAATATGCATAAATATAAATCTATTGCAACAAAACTGCCATTTTAAAATTAGATTCTACAGTTCATGAGGGTTTTAATTCTCTTTTCATGGTCATACTTAATAATAATTTATCTATCAACGCTCATTCAGCTTGAATTCGCAAGAAATTCATCAATTTGTAAATGCCACTTTCAGTAATTCTTGTAGCTTATATATGATTTAACTTTTATTATGCAAACTTTATCATTTTTATTTTAGTGAACTTTTGATTTTACTCTACACAATAGACAGGCTAAAATTACCTCATTAGGGAAACCGTTTAATTTAGTATAACTTCAAATAATAAAGCCATTTCTTTAGTTATTTCATATCGTTTAAATTGAAGTTTTCCACCTTAATTATTTTGAAAGCATTACATCACCTAGTTTTAATTTAGTATCAACTTTACTTTGAACTGATCATATCATTGAATATACGACCCTGAGGAATAGCATATTAAAATTATACTATAAATTCGCGCTTGAGTATTCACAAGTTTTGTGTTCTATTCTACCTCGAATGAAATTCACTCGAATCGTTTTCGTTATCTCTTAGAAGGATCTAAAATTTTTAATAATTTTTACTCAAGCAATAAGGGGCTCTTACTCACACATCCTGTGCTAGCAGCTATGATACAAAATGGCTGTTTTATATATTGATATACCTTACATCTCTAAACTTTCCTGTTTAAGGGTTATTTTGTGGCTTGCAAATAGTTTTTGAAAACTTGTTCTATGCTCGCATACTCATATCTACTTTTCCTATTAGTCATTTTGCTTATGGAAATATTAGTTTATACATGCTGTCATATTTATTCTGTTATGAATATTTAGCTAACATAAATGGTTAATCACATATTAGGCGCAGCCTTTCCAGCACTTTTTATTAATTAACATAACTGAATATATGGGGATATTGAGATTTATTACGCTAAAAAGGGTGAAATTTATAGGAGCGTTAATTAGTGGACTTTTGCTATTATAGCTTAATGAGGTAATAATAAATGTAAATATAGCCCCAGTATTGATATTCTCTGAAAATATTTTTTTTAGAAGAATATGTCGACTCCGAGCTACAGAGAGTTAGTATTTATGCCATCTTGATTGGAATAATATAAAGAAAAGAAAAGGGCAGGAATCTCATTTAAGCAAATTACTAGTTAATGTATTCCATATAATTTATAAGAAACCATGGTTACTATTAATCAGGTTACTGTTGCCCCTATGCGTGATTATTTGTATGCTCCAGTTTTAATTGTCACGACATTGTCTCCCTCACTCAGTCGTGTAAGGCCAAAGGCTTTATAATTAGAAAACTCGCTTAAAACTGGTTGGCTGGCATAATACTTTGTAATACCAAATTATAAGTGCATATGTACGTGTACGACTCATTTATGGACAAATAAAAGGAAGTTACTGATTTAATCTATTCTTGCAGAGAAAAGACATACATCGCTTTGCCATAATATGCTGGAGAGTGCCTTATGCTTGACCTAATAAATATCATTAGGAGTATTATATTGTATGGAGCTAGTTATGATGACCATCAAAAAAGTGTTCCATCGTTGATAAAGTTTTGATATTCTCTTCTTTTGCCTTTATTTATTAAGCGCTCTTTGCTATCTAATGAGAAACAATTAAATCTAAAGGAATCTTAGCATGCCTGATTTCGATCTGAAACATATTTATAATAGAGCTTTATTGCCATTAGTGCTTAACTTCTTATTATTACTCTATGCAATTGAAAAAAAATGACTTGAGATAGATAGGGGCAAAAAATTGTTGGCGATTGTTGACTTGGGTTTGAGAGGTAATAAAATAAATTGTGCAATAGCCATGGTTATTTTTTGGGAAAAAGCTACTTCTAGCAACAATTAAGAGTTAGTTGCGATGCCATATGAAACTAGCTTTGGAGATCAAGCTAGTTTTCCACCAAAAATACAGTTTCTTACACGATTTTTTCCATTTTTATCTTATTCCGTATATCAAATAACATAAGATTTATTATAAATTTATCTACCGTCCTATTCTTAATTGTATTTTTGTTTTCTATCAGACAACATTTTATGGAATGTATACGGAATTTTGTCGAATTGTTATTTTAACTACTAAGCGGTAAGAATAGGATTCTAAACTAGATTCAAAGTTTTGTTCTCCGTTTAATCCGAGATTGATCGGAATTCAATAAGTTTATTTTAGTGCAGTGAACTAATTATAATTTTTGAGAATATATATATTTTTTCCACGTTAATTTAATAATACAATATAACCTTTTCTTTAGTTCATTTTGAAACTTTCC